TGTTTTTAAATTCAGGATAAGAAGTCTCAATGTTTTAATCTTGGAACATGTTTTCAGAGGTAAATAAAGCATATATGTACATTTCCAATACTTCACCAATACTGCTGGATAACCTCAGCTAGGATCCACATAATGAGTAGTAAATAAATCTTGTAGATAAGAGTAATTCCCAGGCTCATTTGAGTCCAGAAACATCTGGGCTACATTTTTAGGATTGACTGATTATGTTCATTGAAGAATAACTTTTTAAAGAGAAACCATATAAGCAACAGCCCTATATTTTTCCCCCATAGTTGTAATTTTTTAAAAAAGTAGTGTATAACATGCCATTGTTGTACTGAAGATTGTTCTTCTCTTCATCTTGTGAGATGATATCTTCTTGTACACTTGAATAGAAGAAAGAGACTTGCAGTAACAGTCTGTTTCTGTCAACAGCTGAGCATCTTCTAAAAGTTCAACAGTACATGTGTTGTGTATTTGCCTGGATTCTGCTTGAAACAGAAACCGTTCACAAGTTTGTTTTTTTAAGTTCTACACTGCTGCTTCTATAGCCCTCTTTGGAACACCAATTATTTTCTTCAAGCTGGCTGATGTATAGTTTAATTTCTTGGCAAAAAATAGCAGCCCCACATGATGCTGTTATGGAAAGCAGCATATGCACAGATTGGATATGTGTAGAAATGGGTCTTTCTGCAGAAAGCTAAATTGTTCACTTTTTTGCATGGACAGATGTACACAGATGGGTGCTAAGAGACGGTGCAAAATTGCAATTACTGAATAAGTACACAGATTTATTTTCATGATTCTAACTGGACAGTGCGGTAGCTTTATTAGACTTGATTTTACAGTTATAGATTGTCATGCAGCTGTGACTGCTTGCAAATACACTGCTGGGATTCTAGAATATGGATGGAATGATGACCTTATCACAAGAGGTTCCAAACTCAGCATTATTGTTGTTCGTTTTCCTCCGACTGGCCACTGGAAGAGGACTTAAGGGTCCTCTATTAAGTGTCCTGTACTATCCCACCTGCTTGGTTTCAGGAAAGAAAGCCTAATTCTTCCAGTTGTCAATAAATCCCAGAGATTTAATTAAGGACTTTAGGGAATGGGGAGTGGGCTCTTCTTATCAACTCAAAGAGTTTGCTTAATGTCAAATTGTTATAGTGCCATAAACCTGAATATTCCTCTGCAATCCTCACCCCCTCCAGTGTGTATTTATTTGATTTATATCTTTGGTTCTTTATATAATTGATGGTGGCATACATAATGCACCCTCCTCCCAAACAATAACCCTTTGAGGTGGGTTGGGCTGAGGGAGACAGGGAACAGGTGGTCCAAAGTCATCCAAGTTTCTGTGCCAGAAAGAGGACTGGAATTCACAGTCTCTCAGTTTCTAGTTCAGCATTTTAACCACTAAACTAAACTGGCTCTCATCTTAAGGAACATTTCTATGTGAATATTTATTACAGACATTTTAATATGAGAGTTCTTTCACAGTAGCCCATCATTTAAAAATTAATAGTACAATAACAACCAAAACAGTAACTATAGCCACAAATCTTTATAATAATCCTTGAAAGCTGAGAAGCAGTATAAAATATAGTGAAGCATTAGCCTAAAATTAGTCAGATAATATTCCAAAATAGATCAAGAACAATAATTAAGCCAAAAATAAGTCTTTAGAGAATCATCTTTAGGCATTAACGATAGTAACAACAATAGCAACAACAATGCTAAATACATTTCTCGAGGGAGAAGTCTGTACATGAAAAGTTTCTCCTTGTGTAATGCGTATATAAGGTCTACAGGCAAGTTTCCAAACAGTTCCTGAAGATACAAGTATTCCATCAAGTAACTCAGTGCCAAATTGCTACAGAAGTTAAAACCAGTTGAAAATATGTGGAAAACAAGAGGCAGCTAGAGCACTCACATAACATTGGCATGTCATCTTCCAAGAACCTTGCTTATCAACATAAAGCCTCTCACCCAATGATTAGTAACTATTTGAATGAACTGAATACTCAAAAGCCTTGCTTTTGGTTTAATACCCAATCAAATTTACCTAAATTCAGAGTTTCCCTGTAAAAATGGCAGTGAGGTAGAATCACAAATTCATTTTATACTCTCTTCCCTCTCTGCCCATCCTCCACTCTACCCATGCATTCTTTTCCTTTACTTTGGAAGGAAAAGTACTGACCAACAGTCAATATTTCCTTTCTGTTGCTATTTGGCTAGGGAAAGAGAAAACAAATTCTGTCTTCCAAAACAATGTTGTGTATATTGTGTGCATGGAAGAGTGTCCAGCAGCTACATTGAAGTTAAAACTGAAGAGTTTGTTATGGAATTTCCACACGGGTCTTCTGTGACAGGTTGCAGGCTACCCTGGACCTGTATATTCCCACAATACCAGCAATGTTGGAATGTGGCTGACCTGATTTACAGCATTTTTGACTCAGCCTTGTATAGTTGAAACCACCATGAAACTAGGTGGGGTAGAGGTACCTTTGAGGTAGAGTGGCTTCATTTGAAAGGAACTTTTTAAATGAAGGAATTCTTTCTCACCCTTCTTCCCAGCTCCCAAGTTTTGTGTCCTTAAAGGAAAATGGTAGCTTTAGAGCTCTGCAAGTCCCCTTCAATATCTCAAGCAAAATAAGCAGATAATTATTTTGTCAAATTCCCCTTGTTTTCATTGCTTCTTGCCTGCCTGCTCTTTCCACTGAAGTCTGATCACCTTCAAAATGTTTCTGAGGTTTGGAGAAATTAAAATAGTAATAATGTTGAAGTGACCTTAGCACAGAATGTAAGGTATGTATCCAATGTATCCTGGGGGAGCAATTGCTAGTCAATGTACTGTATGCAATGCTGAGCCGGATGGACCAAATATTTTACTTGTAAAGTTTCTTATGTGTTAGAGGTAGTTAGAAGAGGCAGTCATTTAGTTTACTAAGTAAGACCAATCCATAGATGTAAAATGAAAACAGAAGCTAATGAACTTTATTAAAATCGAAATTTTAATCTCTGTTTCTCTCTATCCTCACTGGTGGAAAGTCTTGAAATTCTTCATTGTGGCTCATTCTTCAAGAACATCCCATATACCTGTTCTACCTGCTTCAGTTCTGCCAATCTGTTTATGAAATGAGCATGAACCTATAGCATTAGCACATTCCAGTTGAAGTAAAGAAACCAAATCGTTGCCAGGAGTTCAGATTCCAAAGGTGGGTTCTGCTTATGGGAAAGAAGAGATCCTACTTCCACCAGGGAAGCCCTAAGACAGTGGAATATATCCGTGGCCGTGGTGACCTAGTGGAATCTTTCATGAATGCCTGACTTATATGGAGTCTTGAACACCTGGTAATGAACAACAGTATTGTGCATAGGAGCAGAACTGAGTCATGTGCAGCACATACCATTCTAATGAGTAATACTGTTAAGCTACTGTGATAATGAGACTTAAGGGCCTTAGTATTATGCCTTTCTTTCCCTGCAGCCCACTCCTGGAGCCGGAGTAGTACTGTAGCTGGTCAGAGAAGAGCTGGCCCCAAGTCTCCCAGCTGTAATGGACACAGCCAAAAGCTATTAATGCACAGCTGCTTGTAATCAACTTGGAGCAATGCCCAGCCATGTTTCTGCTTTGCAACTTCTTGTTTCTTCCACTGCAGTTGCATAGGGATGTTGTAAGATGATGAGCTGGAAGTCTAATTGGTTTGTTCTCTCCACCCCATTCCATGCAGCCTGGTAAGAGAATCCATAGGCTGCTTTCTTTTGCATGGCACTTTGTCCCCTTGTTACCGGGTGCGGTATAATTGCAATAATAGGAATTATGATTGTGGATTTGAAAAAAGGCTGTTGGCTCCACTTGTATGTATTGGATCACCTAATTGTATTTCTTCTTTTGTCACACAGATGATGATTTTCGCAGTGCTTTGGTACTGGGACACAATGTGGCATTAGCTTGAGTAGAAGTCTGCTTCTGCCATGAGAGTTGTCCTTGCTATCTTCTCTAATGCAGTATACTGCATACCTTTCTGGCCTGGATAATCCCACTGTTCCCACCTCTGACTGCAGAGCAGATTTGGTTGTTCAGGAAGCTGCAGGAAGAAATGTAACTTGACACATCAGCTACATCAATTCTTCTGTTGACTGAATATAATTGGATATAATCTTATAGGTTCAAGTGCTTTGCTATCCCCATAGATTCTCTTGCTTCTGATGCAACTGGGTTCACATCCTATTTCTTCCAACATTTCCTGCCTCTTCCTTTCTCAAATCTGCCATCTATATCTCAATGTTTGTATATTTCAATGACAGCAGAAGTCTCTGTTGGACAATATATGGTGAATTATGTCTTGAGAATGTAGCAATATGCTTTGAGAAGCTTGAGTAGATTCCTGATCCTAAAGCATTAGGTGGATAGAAGCAAAGTGACAATCTTGAGCTTCACTTGCTTTAAATTGTGAATCTGCAAGATGGTACTTGTGTTGTTGTTTTAGGAACAGTTTAGGATGAATGTCATCAGCAAAATATTTATATAACTGTTGGTCCCTGAGTTCTGCAGAATGGTTTTATAGGGGCAGCATTTAGTTGCTAAAACTCATCCAGTTGGTGGATTTTACCAACATTGTTGGTGCACAAGGGTAGTATAAACATTGACAGTGTATGAATTTGCCTTTCAGGCAGGGCATGAAGTATGTTTCTTTTCCAACCACCATAAGCAATAATATTGTTGACTTGCTACAGTACAGGTTCTACAACATTCCATTATCTTCCCTGTTCCCTTGGAATGTTTCTTTTATGAAAGTCCTGAATAGATTTCCCAAGCTGCAGATGGTAAGATAATTGGGATGTTTGGAATCTAAAAAGTATTGAGTGTTCAAACTGCTATATTCTGTTCCCAGGAAATTTTAAGGGTGTGTTTGAATTTCATTTTATAACCTCTTCTATAAACTCTTTTGAAGATTCTCTGAAAAATATTGCTTTTTCTGTCGTTCTTTCAACAGAAACCTAGGAAGGTCATTCCTCAAGTTGGAGAAGATTCTCAAAATGGTCATCTTCCACCTGGCTGGCAAAGTTATATGTCTCCTCAGGGGCGAAGATATTATGTGAACACCTTCACCAATGGTAAGCTTCATTTACACACTAGTTTTATTTTTTTAGAAAACCCTCCTCCATTCCTCTAATATCGAAGGTAGAGAAAACATAACTTAACAGTATGAAGAGTAGCCAAACACCTTCTTGTACAATCCATAAAATAACTGTGCTTCTTGGCTGGTCATTGTAGACAACCTGATTATCTGCCTTTCTCTAGATTTCCAATGTCTTCTCATATTATTCCCAGAATAAAATCATTTATCTCAACTCTCTTTTTTTGCCAAAGAAAGTGATATCCTCTGTTCTCTTACCAGACATTCTCTGTACAATTTTGGGACAGAATGTTTTGAAAATGTTCTATTTTTCATCTTGATTTGTGCTAAACTTCTCCTGGACCATGCCATTCTAGCAGTCAGTTTACTAGTTTCCAGAAGTAAACCAGAAATTGTTTGAGCTGCCCTTGGGTATCTGACTAGGATTCTTGCCAAAACTCTAGGTATGGGACATTCTGAACCTCTTCTGATTCAGAGGATTTACTTCTGGAAATTTTTAAAAACTGCCTGCCAGAGTGGTACATACCAGAAGAGATTCAGTACAGTCTGCAGTTCTGCAAAATATTCCATTCTCAAACTGGTGAATTTTGTAGGTCTTACTTTGTTTCCTCCCAAAACTGAAGGGTTTTTACTGGCATTAGGAATTGAATGTAGACAATAAGAATGAAAGAACAAAGCAACTATACTGAAAGCCATTTTGAACAGACCTGACTCCAGTGGAGCAGCTTATCCCAAAGAGGCTCATATTTTGAATTTTTAAATTTCTTTAAAAATTCCTTTTTAGATTTCTCACTCATCCTTGAAAGGCCAAATATATCAATTGCACAGCAAATGATAATAAAATTTATGTACTCATAGTTGTCAACATTTTTAACCAGTTAATTCAACAAGAAAATGAATCATATTTGGATGAATTACTTACAGGTAGTCCTTAACCTACTACCACAATTGACGTTAGAGTTTCGGCTGCTAAGTAAGGTGGTTGTTAAGTGAATCGCCCCCATTTTACAACCATTTTTGCAAATTGCTGCAGTTGTTAAGTGAATCATGTGGTTAAGTGAATCCTGCTTCCCCCATTAACTTTGCTTGTCGGACATTCGTGGGGAATGTCTCAAATGGTAATCACATAACCCAAACCACACACACACACACACACACCAGAATGCTGCAATTGTCATAAATGCATGTCGGTTGCTAAGTGCCGGAATTTTGATCACATGACTGTGAGGATGCTGCGAGAATAAGCTCTCAATCACTTTTATCAGTCCAGCTCTAATTTTGAAGAATGACTAAATAAATGGTTGTAAACTGATGACTACCTGCATTCTGCATCATAGCAGGTGGTAACATCTAGCCAACTTTGGTTGAAAAGCTAAGCAGGACCAGATCCCTTTAGAACGTAAATGCAAGGCTGTGAAAAAGTCCAAGCTGAGAAATGAGAAAAGGATTCCAGAAGAAGGCAGTGGCAAACAATTTCCATATATTCCAATTTCCTCGGTGGCGCAGTGGTTAGAATGGGGTACTGCAGGCTACTTCTGCTGACTGCCAGCTGCCTGCAATTTGGCAATTCAAATCCCACCAGGCTCAAAGTTGAATCAGCCTTCCATCCTTCGGAGTAAAATGAGGATCCAAATTGTTGGGGGCAATATGTTGACTCTGTAACATCGCTTAGAGAGGGCTGTAAAGGGGTATATAAGTCTAGGTGCTATTGCTATTGCTAAGAAAACTGACTGGCCATATCCATACAGCCATTGGGAGTCAAACTCCATTCAAGGAAGACTTTATTTGTTTTGTATCTTGCATTTGGATGTCTAAGAATTGAATGTTAACATTTTCTGGGTTGCTATGCATGTAAATATGCAAGTAGTTATGAAATTATGAAAATATTCAGCATAAATCAAGCTTAGCTAAATCTGCTGCACCTAAAACAGCCATAATAATTATGTGACATTTTACTGATTTCCTGTTTAGAGTCAGACCTGGAAATATTTAGTGCTTAAATTTTATGTATTTCCTTTTCAGTTCTCAAGTGACCAAATAATTTGGATGTTCTTAAACAAAAAATACAAATCATTTTTGAGAGGATAACTCCTGGGGAGAGCAAACTTATAGTTCAGAAGTTCTAAGCAAATGAAAAAGAGCTTGAAATAACTGGTTAAAAAGAATTTAGGAATGTTTTCATAGAGTTTTACACCATAATGGACAGAGCTTAAAAACTTCAGAATCTTTTAATTCCTTTCTTTCCTTTCTCCTTGAGTTCACAGTTCATGTGTAATCATCTCAGCTTTTTGCAGGCACAGAGGCAATTTTTGTTTTTCCCTGGAAAGTTAAAAGATTTCACCACTTCCCCATTACAAAAAATGGGGAAACAGAAGTTCTGTTTGCTGCAAGGCAGGTAAATTAATGAAGGATTAGCACATCAAAGTGATGGAAGAAGTTGCAGGTAGGATCATGCAAAACCTTTTAGCAAATTTTTTTATACATGAGGGAGTACATACGAAACAGTACTTGTGAATCATTAAAGCATATGCTTCTTTTCCTAGATTTCAGCATAGCAAAGTGCTGTGCATGCTTATGGGGAGACTTATTTCCAAAACAGCAACATGCATTTGGAAAAATATATGGTTGCTATATAGAGAAGGGAAAAAAAAAGCTTTGTATGTGCTCCCTCATGTTTGAAGCACATTGCTTCAAAGGTTTGCACTGTATGTACAGTATACAAGTAGTCATTCATTCAGCAACCCTTTGAAATTATGACAGCAGTGAATGAAGGGCCTTATGAACTGGACCAAAGTTATAGCTGTTGCATTGCTCCCATGGTCACGTGATCACATTTTGGGTGCTTGGCAATCCATGTACTCTTACGATTGAGCACAGGGACACTGCCATCTTGGGGGAACGATAGGCATCGTTCCCCCATCCCACATCATTGAATCCTTTGGGCTTACCTCTCATCTGGCTGGGTCCCCATAGTCCTTGGACCCGCTTCCTGCTTTGCTGGGTCTCACACACTTGGGCCTCCCCTGCCCTATCACACCTCCCCCATGATAAATACAACATTAATGACAGTACATGGATTTTATATTTTTCAACATTGGAAATATCTCTCAATTTCACAGATTTATAGCTCTCTTGAAAAACTAGGTGAACATACAGTGTCTTACAGTCCAAGAAACACTGCAGAAAAGGAACAACATCTGCATATCTCTTCACACTACTATTAATGTGTGGGACAGTTTTGGTGTTAAATAAAATGGCAAAGTAGACAGCCAGTTTGGTGTAGCACTTAAGACATCAGACTAGAAACCATGAGTCCGTGTGTTCTAGCCCTCCCCCGCTTAGGTACAAAGCCATCTGGGTGACTTAGTCCAATCACTTTGTCTCAGCCCTATGAAGGAGGCAGTGTCAAACCATTTCTGAAAAATCTTGCCAAGAAAACTGCAGGGACTTGCCTAGGAAGCGTCTGAGAATTGGGCACAATTGAACAGAAGAAAAAAAGTGGAAAATATCTATTCTGCAAAATAGATCATGTACCATCTATGAGTCTGATCCTTATCCATCTTCACATTTTACGCAAATGTCATAATGCAATGTATTTGTTTTTATTTTCCTTCTCTCATGGGGATTCTTCTATTTCAACTTATAATACTATTATTACTGCTTCTTTTCTTTCCCCTCCTCCCCCCTCTTCTTCTTCCCGAGGCATCTAGAAAAAGCTAAGCAGGTCAGAGCTGATCAGTACATGAATGAGACCCCACTAGAAAAACCGAGGAACTAGACTAGGAAAAAAATGAAATAAAACATGGGAAATCGCTTCATATTATTGCAAAGAAAATTACATTGATGCTGTCAGGAAGTGAAAAAAAAGAGGAAAAACAGGAAACAAAATCAAAATATGGGAGTTATTCTAGTTTAATGTCATCCATGACAAAGAAACTTCTCAAGTATGGCTTCATAGAAAATACATTGCACAAATCAGTAGGATGTACTACAGTTTGAGGGTAAATTATCATTAGATATTAAAGACTACAAGTTAGAATCAAACCAGGTACTGAAATTTCCATTTAAAAGGGGAGCAGTGTCCACAGTTGACCTGAAATAAGGAAAGTGTGGTATTAAAATGTTTTGCAACTATAGTTGTATTGTTTCATCTATCCCATAGAATACAGGATATTTGGTAATTACAAGTTCCTTTTGCATCAGTGCAAGCAAAAATTTAACACATCCTTTTTTGGGGTTTTCCCTCTTTATGAAGTATTTATTCTTGTTGTGTATCTTACTCATATTCCATTCTGCAAAATTAAGTGTCATAATCAAGCAACATTTTTTTTAACATGAGATAAATCCCTAATCCTCATTTTATGTGGAAATTCTGCTTTGTGGACTATCTTTAGCTGTGTTTAGGAAAGTCTCCGGGTTTTCATCTCAGTCTTGCAACAACCAGATTAATCTTGTCTCGAATTTTAGGGAAGCCTGTGATAAATTATTGCTACATAAATATTTAGATGTTCCTTTTCATAGGAATGGAATCATATGAAATGTTAGCTTTTATATACCTAACACTTCCTATTCTAAGCAAATATAAACTTCACATCAAAGGTAAAGGAAAAATGCTTTCATTAGTTTTGGTTAGTGATTAGTTTCTACTTCCTTCTGTTGGGTCCAAATGTGATACTAAATTAAATAAAATAAATATGCTTTTCAATGAGGGTAGCTGATATAGAAAATTAGGTATCTCTTAGCATAACCCATTCTAAACATTAAGCTGGTACAATCATTATTTTACCATTCTGGTTCTCTGTCTCAGAGATGGAACCAACATTTGTGCATGGAGAGATGGAATATAACCTTCCTAAAACACTTTTCTAGTCATCCAAATCAGTGAAATGTTATAATGAAATATAGCAAGGTTGGCATTAATAAGAAGCATACTTGCCCTGAGCAGGATCATTACCCAGGATAAAAATGAAGAGCAAA